GTTTAGGGTTTAGGGTTTATAGAAATTGTATAGGGTTTGGGTCCCTGAGTTTTGACCTCAGTTTTGACCGAAAGTTTTGACCGAAAGTTTTGACCGAAAGTTCTGACCGAAAGTTTTGACCGAAAGTTTCTGCTTTTAACTTGTCCCAAACCAGTTTCTTACTTGTGGGCTGTGGAGCTTTCCCGAGAGGCTGAGTTTCGAGCTTCTTGCTGCTTGGATTTGCTTCTGCATCAGAACTGGGTTGGAAATACTTTTGCCAGCCTCGCCTCGACCCCACCTTTTCTGGGCCTCGGGGCCTCTTCTAGGCCTTTTCTAGGCTTCTGGTCCTCTTCCCAACCTTTTCTGGGCCTCATGGCGTCTTCTGGGCCTTTTCTAGGCTTCTGGGCCTCAAGGCCTCTTCTGGGCCTTTTCTAGGGCCTCGGGGCCTCTTCTGGGCCTTTTCTAGGCTTCTGGCCTCTTCCCAGCCTTTTCTGCCTCGGGGCCTCTTCTAGGCCTTTTCTAGGCTTCTGGTCCTCTTCCCAGCCTTTTCTGGGCCTCAAGGCGTTTTCTGGGCTTTTTCTAGGCTTCTGGACCTCTTCCCATCTCTTCTGGGCCTCGGGGCCTCTTCTGGGCCTTTTCTGGTGCTTTTCTAGGCTTCTGGCCTCTTCCCAACCTTTTATACTAGGAGTATATAAGGACCACAATATAATTACCATTACCTCTTGTGGTCACCATTCCTGGGTGGGGGCCCAACCTAATCCAGATACCTGTTTAAAAGGAACCTCACCCCTAACCTTGTAACCCTCGAGGTTTGAAAGTCTGGCGGCTGGTGTTCCGGAAGGCACACCTTTCTTCAGGCCACACGCGTCTTTGTAGCAGCTTTGGTATATAGTTCTAAGCGGTAAACAAGCATTTGAAGGAGGGTAGGGGTCGCACGAGTGTTAGTACCACGAGCGAATACAGCAGTACAGTTGTAGCAGTAGCTGTAGCAGGAGGAGGCGCCCGCACCTCCCTACCTTCCAACCATGTCCCCCAACTTGCCATGTTGAAGCCTATAAATCTACAGAGGTCTTCCGTTGAATGTTTGACCGCTTTCGAATGTTCGTACTCTAGTGAATTGAAGCACGGGGCATGCGGTAAGGGACGGGCGGCGATGGGGTGAGATGGGGGAATGTTGATTGGGGGCCACAGTGAATCCACTCAAAGCGCCCGCATGCAAGGACTAGTGGTTGGTAATAGTTGGTAGGTACAGCATAGGTGAGTTTCACGTTGCACCACAACCCTGCTTGCCTTGACCGTCATTCATTAGGTAGACCCCCCACGCTGTAATGGTGGTATAATAAGAATATAATAAGACCCTACTATAATCCTTACTTTGTAGTCACTATTCAGTTGCAGGGTGGGGGGTCCACCCAAGGCATTCACTTCAAGTGTAGGTGGTCTGCAGGTGCGAGGTCATAGTCGTCATTGTAACGAGGGTAAAAGATAGGGATGTCGAAAGCAGGTGAGCTATAGTCTAAATTCCTTAAAGGGGGTTATTTAGGGGATTGCATAGGGTAGTATTATAGGGCTTCTTAGGCGGGATACTAGGAGTTGAGGTTATAGCTCAGGTCATCCTGGGACTGTTGCTAGTAGCAACTTGCCAAGCACTTTGGGATAAAGCCCGTCTTCCGGACTGCACTTGGGGTGGTTTTGTTTTGGGACCTTTTTCAATTTCCTCCTATTATTTTGAAGAGAACCGTGATAGTAACTAATTTTCAAAGGGCTTAAAGGACAACTCAGTTGGGTTGGTTGGAGTATCAAGTGAAGCAAGTCCGTTCAGATATCACTCCATGCCTGCTGGACATCCAGCTCAAAGACGGGCCTTCAGTTGTGTTCTTTTCGGTCATGTCTGGCAGGCACCCTGCGATCCCTTGTGATTTGCAGCACAGAGACCTTCGCCGAAGTAGTGTTCAGACGACTGAGAAGCCGGCACGGCCACGGTTAACAGCAGATGATGCACCTTGGCAAGCACAAATTCTTTTGGAGTGCTTATGACAAAGGTTGTGTGTGTTGAAAGGAAGCCCTCAGACAAGGGAACCCCAGACTTTTGGTACCACTTGCAGCAAGCTCATCGCCGCCCCACGAGTGAAGCTGTTCACTGCAAACGGTCGAGGTCACGGAACTGCCGCTCTCCGAGCATGCGTCGCTTTTCGAGTAACCAAGCTGCATTTAGAGAGACCATGAAAGAAGGCGTCTAGTCTAGGGCGACGGTGGGGTGTGCGGAGCAGTTGCCACGTTTGAAGGCGGGACTGCATGCCATGTTCCAAGTAGAAGCAGTGTGAGCCTGCTGCGATGGGCGATTCTTCTGCTGGAAATCGGTATGTGACCTCGAAGGTATTTGATCAACCTCTGGGACGATGTGCGTTCCAAGAACGAGGAGCGAGGGTCAACAGCAAAGAGTAGAGGGCTTGCGATTTCAGGTTTAGGTTTAGGGGCGCATGTAGGGGGCCTAACATTGTATGTTAAGGATTCCAATCAAATTCGGGAGACATAGCCAGGTGCCTCAACAGTTCTCGAATCCAACCCGCGTACAGCGAAGCCTGCTCATGGGCACTGGTGAGTACATGGTTGCTTGGCCAGTCTTTGTAGGGATTACTCTTACTACTATTATTATTAGTATTACTATTGTTGTTATTATTACTATTATTGATTTTATTACCTTTTCCATGATTTTTCTTTTTATGATTACTATTATGAATAGTAGTACTGTCGTTAATATTACTATTAGGGATTCCAGGGTTTCTGGCGTAGGGTTTAGCTTGGACATTCTGCAGTTTCCCGCATGCTACGGTTGATTGAGGAAATCTGGCACCATTTTAATGTGCCGCTACAACTCAATACCCTTCACCCCTTTTTTACCATCGGCAGTGGCAATGCCAAAGGCCTAGAGGGACAAACGACCACAGACTTGCACTACCTCAATTTGTTGTAGCCTCAAGTTAAAACGGGGGCGCGTTTTTTTTCGTGTATGGTATTAGTCGTTGCACACGGGTGGTGCAAGATTTCCTCCCTCCACCGTAGAGCACTTCAAGACATGTTGCTTTTCGAATTTTTGTTCAGCCCGCACATGCTAGGTCGTCTCGTTGGTGAATAACCGCTTCTGTTTCAAGAAGCGGGCATCCCACAAATCCAATGGCATCTACTTGGTGATCAACCGAAAGCGATGGGTGGCTTCTGGAATCTGTGTAGGCAACGTTTTGTGTTCTGCCGGTCTCAACTGTGGTTTTGAAGGGATCCGCAGCAGACTGCAGGGGGTAGTTTCCCCAAATAAGGGGACCCCAATATAGACCGTAAAATATTACAATCCTTATGATTGGGACCCCCAAGAAGGTACCCCTAATTTTGGGAAACCCCAAACCCCTAAACCCTTCATATCCTTATAGAACCTCTATATAATCCCTAGAAAGCCCTAGGTCTACCAGAAATGTCATGATGTGGCCGATTGCCCGGACTTCCGGTCGCACGAATTTGCCCTTCCCGAGGCTGCACCGTTTGGACGACACAGGAAATTAGTAGGATGGGCTTAGGGTTTAGGAGTTTAGGGTTTAGGGGTTTAGGGTTTAGGGGTTTAGGGTTTATGGGGTTATATTGGGGCAATGGAAAAAACATGGAAACTATTCAATCATAGGGTTTAGGGTTTAGGACTTGTTATATAGGGGATATATAGGGGATATGTTGGGGTTATATTGAGATAATGGAAAATAAAATGGAAACTGCTATTCAGGGTTTAGGGAAGAAAGGAATGCAAAAGAAAATTGAAACTACTGCAGAGTTTAGGGTTTTGGGTTTTCGGGTCTAGGTGTTTGGGTGTTTAGGTGTCGTTTCTAGGGCATGGAGGATAGGCAAAGAACGAGGAAACTACTATTGGGTATTCAGGGGTCCATTCCTGCCTTCTCAAAAAAAGCCAGCAAGAATCAGAGGCCTGAATGCGGGAGCCCCCATCATTTGGCCCTCCAAGACTTTCTGAATAAACCCCTTAAACCTTAAATCTTAAGCCCTAAACCCTCAACCTTAAACCTTAAGCCCAAAACCCTAAACCTTAAACCTTAAGACCTAAACCTTCAGCCCTAAAGCTTAAGCCCTAAACCTTAAACCCTAAACCCTAAACCTTCAGCCCTAAACCCTAAGCGGGAGCGTGGGAGGACTGGACAGAGATGACATGCTAGCGATCCATGCTTTCATTGGCTATTCACCATCGCACTTTCATAACTGGTTCTTAGTATGGAATATTGAAATATCATCCCATAACGCATATATCTGTACGTGTATATATATATATGTATATATGTATGTTATGTGCTTATTCCCAACAACCAGTAAGTTTTCGTTCTAGGGAACGGTGTTGCGATTCCCTAGGCCAAGCTTGAGCACCAAAAACGACTGGAGGGGCTGCAAGCATTTCAAATTTAGGCATCCCCTTAACACCATATGAGCCATAAAAATGGAGTTATAGGGTACTTAATAGGGATTAAGGTTATATGAGCTGTAGTCTAAACTCCTTAAAGCGGGTTTTATAGGGGATTCTATAGGGGACTACTCAGGGATTATGAAGGGGGATACTAGGAGTGTAGAAGCTCATATATGTCTCGTACGTATGTGCGCCACATTAGGGGGATCCGTGCGTAGAATATTATGAGTTCGGGATCTGTTTGCAAAAGCAAGCGCAGACAGTAAATTCCAAGCATCGAGGGTACCTTTGCGGTCAGCTGTCAACTGGTTCGTTTAGCCAGCGCGGTTGCGCAAGCACATCACAAGGGTTTGTAGAAACCCTGTAAAATCCTGTTTTTTTGAGGCCTCTTTTCCCTGCTTGGTGGCTTTTGTCTACCATTGCCTTACTGGTGCTTCAAGGAGAGTGGGGGAGTGGATCCCTATGATAGTCACTGATAGTCATACTCCCTATACAACCGGGTTTAGGGTTTAGCATGTATACCCCTATAACAGTCCCTAGGTGCACTCCCCCACTCTAAGCCTCAAACCCCATGGATCCTGAACCTTAAATCTTAATCCAGTAGGCTGCCGTGAGGCCTTTCGACCTGAGGGACTTTTCCCCGAGGATGCGGACGAGGCGGAGCCCAGGGAAGAGGACCATGATCCGGTGTCGCAGGACCTTCGCTAAACTTAGTGATCATATAGGGCTCATATAGGGATTATATAGGGATTGTATAGGGATTGTATAGGGATTGTATAGGGATTATAGGGATTATAGGGTTTATTATAGGGTTTGGGGGGGTTATATGTATTATAGTCTAAACTTTGGGTACTGCCCCCCCAGTAACAGTCTATATAAGGGGTCCTATTAAGGGCTATATATCACCCAATTATATTTTTTGTCCAACTGTTACTGAGGGGAGGGCAGGACCCAAGCTAAACTGGGTTAGGGTTTGGGACGGGAAGAGAACATGGAAACTTAGGTTTTAGGGTTGAGGATTTAAGGTTTCGGGGTTGCTGCTAAGGTATGGGTATATAGTAACAAACAGGGTTTCCTTATTATAGTCATGTAATGTAAGTTCCTCAACAGCAACCCAGTAAAAGAGAGTTTAAGAAAATTCACGGAACCTTTCTTTCACAAGGAATTCTGTTATATATTGGGGTGGGCACAGGCCCCCAAGTTAATTATGAGGAATACTATCTATCATGTAGGAGTGGCCGTTTTTGCACCTTTGGAGGTTGTCCAGTTTGCTTTCGCTCCGAGGAGCTGCTGACGCAGATCATGGAGACTTTGCCTCCAGAGCCTGAAGGGGTGGTGACGCCTCCGCGACTTCCGTGCTACAGCAGCAGCAGGCGCTTCAAAAACTTAGGGGTACCTTTGAGGGGTTTCCTATGATAAGGACCATAGTATATTCGGGTCTATATTGGGGTACCCTAATTTAGGGAAGCTACCAGCAGACGCTTCAGAGAAGTGGGAAGGGAGAATTTTCCGGATCAGGATTGCCTTCTCATTTTGCGCCTTCAAGGACATGCAGGGAACTTGAAGATGGGACACGCAATTTTGAGAGCACACTTTCCTGACAGTATCCCTGAACAATGATTAATCAAGAACCCACACAATCGCGTAAACCCAAAACCCTATAAGTAACCCCCCACAAAGGAGAACTAATAGGCCCCTAATGGTAGCCCAATCAGGCCTAGAATCCTCACAAACCCCAATCAGCACTTCAATTTTTTGGGGCTGGCATGCCCATGATTATAAGAACTAGAAACAGTATTGGAAATAACTTGTTTTGAAGTCCCTGGCGCCAGGCAGCTCTCGCGATCGAGGAGCCCTTGCTCGCGGACCAAACTGTGCAGGCATAACAGGACTGGTGAGACCTGAAGATTGAGGTCCCTGTTCAGGGGCCTCACATTAACTAGGGACACCAAATTGTTCGGGGGTATATGTACACTAACCCATAATGGCCAATTAATTGTCCTATACAAAGCCCCACAGCCTTGAGGATCCAATTCTGACACCGCTTTGCAGGACCTCTTTGGGGCGGAGAAAAACAAGGAGGCGGGAGCCAAAGTCAGAAAAGCAAGAGCCATAATTTTAAGCTTTGCGCATAGCGGGGCACAATTCTGAACCCAAGAAAACAAGGCCACATCCAGGTAGACTTCTTTTAAAGTTTGGTCTGATTCCCTGTAAGCCAGCCCGAACACGCCAACCTCGGCAAAAGCCCCCTCAAACCCCTAAGCCCTAGACCTGAGACCATAGGGCCCTAAGCCCAAAACTACTCAAACTTAAAACCTAGCATAACGCCGCTGCAACCCAGCAGGGCATTGATGCAAGGTACTGGGGTGTATGCATGCTGTCTCCGCTGATCTTCTTCCCGAAAAATCTGCCACCCCGGAGGCCTAAACTTACATGTGGAAAGCTCCCTGGGCCCAAGTATCCCCAGTAGAGTAGCTTTAGGATGATGGTGTTGGGGGTATCGAGAAACTCCATGGTAGAGGTGTTCATGTTCCGGCGAACCTTTGCCGCAAAGTAAATCCACACCCTGAAGCCTAAAACCAAAACGCTGAACCCTAACCAAAATCCTACACCCTAAACCTCTAAACCCCTAAAACCTAAACACCCTTTCAATCTCAGAGGTATTCCTCACATCCTTGCTTGGGGCAATCTCAGCCGGAGCTCAGCCACTGAGCTTGCAGAAGAAGTTCCTTAACTAATCCTTTCTAGTGTTTCGGATAATGGGTTTATAGGGGTTTATAGGGTTTAGGGTTTAGGAGAATTACCCCAATAACGGGGAATCAAATGGCAAAAAAGATGGATACTACTACTATTGAGGGTTTAGGGTTCCGGCTTTAGGGACATTCCCCCAATAACGGGGAATCCAATGGAATAGAACATGGAACATGAAATAGAAACTGGGATTTCCAGCTGTTTACCAGTACGCAAATTCTATGACCTCACCCAACCCGGAAATCTCGTTCCGAAACCCGCAAGGACCTTGTAAGCCCTAAACCTAAACGGGGTATAGAGGGACATATAGGGCAAATCCAGGGAAATATAGGGATAATGAAAAAGAAAATGGAAGCGACTATGCAAGAATGGCATGGAAAAGAAAATGGAACATGAAATAGCAAAGTGGGTTTATATAGTGATTTATAGAGTTTAGGTTTCCAAAAATTAAAGGGATCCCTTTGAAGGGGTTCCTGTAGTACGGATCCTGGTATTTTGGGTCCATATTGGGGCCCCCTGTTTATGGAAATTACCGAATCCTGTAAACCCTAAACCCTTAAACCATTAAGCCCTAAACCCTTAAACCCTGAACCCTTAAACCCTAAACCCTTAAGCCCTAAACCCCTAAAGCCCTAAACCCTTAAACCCTAAACTTCAAACCGCCTTTTTCCCAAACCTGAAGCCCCAAACCCCTGGTTGCTTTCATGGAGGAACAGAGGACTGACCTCCTCAAGGGCATTTAGGGTTTAGGTTCGAGGGGATCTTTGCTTATTGGGGTAATACTGGGGGTGCTATAGTATATTGGGATTATTTCGGGGAAATGGACAATAAAATGGAAACTACTATTTAGGGTCCATTACTATAGAATCATAGTATGGCCGTTCCTCTTGTCCCTGGATTCTAAGCAAGGGCATACAAGCACCCTCATCCAGTCGCTTCTATTTATAGCAGATGTAACAGAATATACATTAGATGTCCGGGCGGGGGGGAGTGGGGGTGGGCGGCCAGCTCTGTAAAGCGATGCAGCCGGAAGCCCTGAACCACAGCCCAATGCCCTAATCCTCAACTCTTGTACTGTTGTCCGAGTGTTTGGAGGCATCGGAATGATGCATGATGTTGCAGCCAAGTGGGAGGAAAATCCCCAAATCCTGATGCCGAAGCCCCGTAAGACTCAGACTTTACGTGGTAGTAGTGGATACTGAAGCGGACGTTTGGGGGCTATTCGCTGCAGACCGAGGCGATACCAATCCTGAAACTCCGCCATGCGTTCTGTAGATCATGCAGAGCTCACTTGAAGCGAACAAGTGGCCCCAAAAAGTGGCCTAGATGATTTGAGTTGGGCTTCTGGACGGTCTAAAGTGTAATTACAGGGAGCAATTTTACGCGTCTCTTCGAGCTCCGAGTAGAATCCACAGTTTCTGGGAAGATGAACAAGCTTCAGCTGGAATCTGCTGTGCGTAGGTGAACCTGTTGATGGAGGAATTGTTGCACCATACTGAGTCCCAAAACAATGGGAATTTCAGTACCAAGAGTGGTGCAAGACTTCCTCCGTCATCATATGGAAGAATGTCTGGAGTGCTTCCCCTGTACAGCATGCACGGTTTGGCAGACGTGGCCTCTCTTGCTGCGCTGAAGAAAAGGTATCTAATGAAGGACCGGGCATGTTACTCGGTTGCTATTGAGGAACCTTTCCTGATTTGCTATGATATGGGTTCACAGTGAATAATATGTTTCCCTCATCATTTTGCGAGCCAGGCTAAGTACTTGCGCAGCCGCCCGTGTCCTGTGGAAGAAGATATCAGCAGTTTTAGCAGAGGCTGGCACCCGCAAAGCGGCAAGATTCCAGCGTGCGGTGAGGCAGTGGGAGTGTCACTGTGCAACATGCTGGAACTACATACACGTCATGTGGGTTTCTGAAAATGCCGTATGCCTTCACGTAAGTCATGACCAGGAAATATGGAGATTGAACCGTAGAGAGGGAGGAAAGGAGGGAGGGAGGGAGGGAGGGAGGGAGGGAGGGAGCGAGAGAGAACCATCAGAAGACGTTGTTTGGCGTGTGTCCGAAGACATGCGCGTAATTGTTGCCAGGTTGTTTCGATTTCACCAAGTGTCCAGGGACGAGGCTGTGGGAATCGGAGGCCGACCCGCTGCGCGCGAAATTAGCATCAGGAATCAGACCGTTGATGCTAAACCCAGTAGCTTACAGTAGAGTAGTATTGTAATTTCTAAGATTTACGTACTGAGGGAGCCACTAAGGTAACACGAATGATAGGCAGAGTAATGCGAGGTATAGTAATAGGAATAGCAGTAGTGATAGAAACACATTGAAATCACAAAATATTTTGGTAGCAATGCTGGGTAGAGTTGCGAAAGAAGCCGCGGCTTCTCATTCATAATGATGCAAGTTTGGTTGTCCCAAGCCCCCAAATAAGGATTGTAGGACTATCATATGGCTTTTGCAGGATCCTTCTCAAAGCAGTTGGACCCTAAACCCTAAGCCCTAAACTATCATGTTATGCGCGCGTCTAAACTATCATTTTATGCCTCTTTCAGGTCGCAAGAAGACCAAGGTTCACGCGCTCGTGCGCAGCGGCCCTGGACAAGCAGATGCCTTTCAAAACTGGAGCTCAGAAGGGTCCCTCCAATGGGCTTGTAGGATTATTTCTTTGTGTTTCTATATATCTGTACATATATATATATAGTTATACAGGTTTAGGGATAGGACCCCGAGAACGGAATATATCGCGATCTTTTATATTCAAAGATTAAATCTAAGAATAAAGCATACTACAATGGACAAGAAAATGGAAAATTAAATGGACACTGGGCTTACTGTACATGGAGAGTTGAAGGTTTCGCAAAATGAGCGGTACCTTTTTGAGTGCCTCTAGAATAAGGGTTGTAGTATTTTGGGGTCTATGTTGTGGTTCCCCAAATGTCGGAAAGCCCCGTATACGGGTCTGTGGGGTTGTTCAGAATGTGGGGCCTAAACAATCGGGATCAAATTGGTTCTATATGCATGTATACGGCTTTTGATGTAGGACCTCAATTAGTAGTATGCCATAGTTATACTAAGGCTATCAGGGGATACTGTTACAAACTGTTCAGGCTTACATGAAATTTGCTTCAACCACAGATCCCTGCATCTTGACCTCACCTTTCCTGCATGCCTCAGGTGCTTTGTTCAAGAACCTCCTGCAAGACCTGTGCTGGGACGTTTCTGGCGTAGAGAGCTTAGAGCTGATGGCATTGTCTTCAGGGTTTAGGGTTTAGGGTGGAATATAACCCTAATATATTATATCCCCAATATACCCCCCAATATAACCCCAATATAACCCTAATGTAAGCCCAATATAACCCTAATACAACCCCAGTTATAACCATCATATAACCCCAATATAACCCTAATATAACCTTAGGGTCTAGGGTGGGAAGTCGCCAGGACTAGGGATCAGAGCTTCGGCATCCCCCAAAGTGGTATGGTCTCAAGCCGTCCTGCGCTGAATGGTTGTCGATGATGAAGAGATCCCCATGAGTCACCTAAGCTATAGTCTAAACTCAAAAAGGGGGTTATATAGGGGATTATATAGGGTACTACTATAATGGTTAGCAAGGGGGATACTAGGAGTTTAGACAATGGCTCACCTGGTAGCTTCCCAGAATAGGGGGACCCCAGTATAGACTCCCAAAATAGCTTAATCCTCAATACTTAGTGGGGCTCTTAACATCATATCCCTAGTTTTAGGAAATCCTAAACCCCGATGAGCCGCCTGTAGCTCAAGGACCGACCCTCGTCCATCGTGACATCTCGGGTCCTGGCTGTCGCCTTAGATTGCCTGCGCGTGGATGGCCCCTTTCATAATGCAGGAGCTTAAATAAGTACGAATATCCTTCTGAGGTCTATTAGAGGTACCCTGTACCATACCCTAAGCCCTAAACCCTACCTAAACCACGCTTATCAAAAGAACCTGGAACCAGAACATTCGATTTTTCGGCTTTTACAGCATCTGTGACCTAGAGTTTCTACACATTTCTTGGGTGTTTCCCAGAAGATGGACAGCGTTAGTTGAGTCTAAACTCCTTAAAGCAGGTTATACAGGGGATTATGTAGGGGACTACTATAGGGCTTGTGAAGGGG